CTCCACAAACTGTGAGCTAAATAAACCTTTCCTTCCTTCATTTTGGGAGTTGGGTATTTTGTCTCAGCAACGAGGGAAAAGTAACCAAGACACCACCAAAATGTGGACATCTGTCCACCAAGTGGCACATGCCTACAATGCAGTATTATCTAGTTGTAAACAGAAATGAAGAAGGTAACAGTATGTTCATGTGAAGTTATTAAGAGAAAACCGTATACAGTAATATGTCAAACATTATTTAAAAGTGAGATACACATGCATATTAATTTATATTTTTGAAAGAAAACTTCAAAAGATAAAATTCCATTATAATGATTACTTCTAGGGAATGTAACGATAAGGTAAGAACACAAATTTGAGAAGCCAGCCTCATACATAAATTGCAAAGTGCAATACAGTTTTCCCCTGAAAATAAGACTGATGTACATGTGGATGTTAGGATATCTATAATTATCAAGTTAATGGATCTCCACTGTCACTGAAACTGATAAAAACTTGTAAGGAAGATCACATTAAGAAAAGGAAGTAAAACTGCAGCATTTTCTTTGCACATTTAAGTGCTGTTGTATAATGTTGCAAGAACTATTTCAAAGTTCATTGATATTTGCTAAAGCAAGGAAAAACAATTCTGTTGCAAAGTTATTGAGACACTGAAATGCTCCTACTAAATCCTCAGGGAAGAATACAAATATTCCCTTTATGTCAATTCCTTGATTTTTATTTTCCTGATAAGAACAACAAAATGCTGCAAATGACCTATTGTATTTTTTTCCTCTGATATCTCTAAGATCTGTTTTCAGTATAATGAACATAAGAAATGATTTGAACTCAACGGTACAGTATAAAAAGATTTTGAGACAAGATAGGAAGTTATAACTCCCCTTTATGCTCTTCTATTACTTTTCTCTCACTCAAAATGGCTAATTTAAAAAGCTATCATAAGGCATTATGTTTGTTCACCATTCTCTTAAGGATCTGTAATTAATACAGAATATTTTTTCAGCTCCACATGTGGAATGGTCTGAGTTTTTTTTCTTCATGTACAGTACTGACAATTCTTACAGGTAAAGAAGATAGGAGGTAAATATTATTTTCATTTCACACATAGGACATATAACAAAGGTATAAAATTTGAATACATTCAAATTTAAATTAACTCAGAGTTGAAAAGTTAAGAGCATATTTATATAATGAGTTTCTATGCTTAAAATCAAACTTTACCTCTGGCTTCATGAGTATTATCTTACAATACTACTATTGAGCTATTTTTCCTTCCTCAGTTAGCGTAGTCATTAGTTTTAACCTGTCCACTGGATGTTGTCACTTGTTATGAAAAATTGATTAATTTTCTAATTTCCCACTCTGATGTACTGGCCTCTATGCTAAAAAGTATCTTTTAAGACTCAAGAGAAGTTTACAACAGTATTTAAAAAACAAACCAAAAATCAGATTACTCTATATATTTAGCATAAGATAAAAATAGATTTTAGCATATAGTTGTTTTTCATTGTCATGAGAGAACTGTATTTTTTAGGGAATTGTGTATGAATGTGAATACGTAGCTCTTCAAAAGGATGAGGGAGAGTTTGAAAGAAAAATGAAAAATCTCGAGTCCTGTTGAAATTAACTGGAGCTATCCACAATTACATATTACTTCTTAAGACTGACATTATATAATAAAATAGAATTTTTGTTGCATAAATGAAGCTGGAATCTCCTTATCTTAAATGTAAAGCTAGCTCATACTTGAGAAATCCTTTGTGAATATTTCAGATATTTGATTTCTTGCCAACTGGGGAATATTAAATCTATGTGGCTCCACCTGAATAATCCCTCCCACTGGGATAGGGAGAGGGAGAAGGAGGGGAAAGGGGAGGGTGCGAGTGTCCCGGAAGGGCATCCAGTCTCTTGAAATTATTTCAGATATCGGATAAGACTTATACTGAAGGTATTTCTGAAGGCCTAGGGAAAAGTCCACCTCCAGAGTTAGCAGCCTTTGATTCCCGTTAATATAACTTGACATGTTTTGTAAAAGGTTTGTTATAAAAGGATGCACCATGGGTGACTAAGTTCCCAGGTTCAAGGAGAAAAAGGCCGGTGAGGAGCCATTTATTTCTGTTTCTAGTCATTCAGTTCATTCGCTCTAAGATTTGTTGAGCGACTAAACTACTTCTGCCGACCCAGTCTGCAACACTGCCATGGTTTCTGCCTCCAGCATCAAAGACGCAGACCCAGGACTGGAAAATAGGAAAGCAAAGCTGTAGCCTTCGGGGCTGGGGTGGGCAGGAGGCTGTGCGGAGACACGACCGGAGCTCGCGGGAGGAAGGAATCACAAGGAGAACGAGCGGTACGACGTGGCGGGAGAGGGGACCCGCACGTACAGAACTCCCGAGAAACCCATCTGGGAAATCTGCAAGGTTGCCCGAATGCAGGAGCACAGAATGCTAAGCAGGGGGTTCCCCCAGCACGGTTTCAGTATTTTGACTTACATCCTCAAGACGTAAGGTCTACAGGTAAGTAACCAAAAGATAACAGAAAGCTTCTGCTTGTGCATTTTAGCCGGCACTTTTTGTTTCTTTAAATGTCGGGAGCGTTAGGCCAGGCACGCATTTTCGGATGTCACGGGTCACCTATCTCTAGTGAACTCTCCGCGTACAACCTGCCTGAACCCTGAGGTGAGGGCGTTTGCAACCTTCACCGGGGAGCAACTTCACTAGATTTAGTAATTACAATAACACTCGGACAACCAGCCGGAGAACGGAAAAAAAGCCCGAAGTAACAGCCCAGACGCCCAGCAGAGGCGGAGCCGAAGAATGGAGGAAGGGGCGGGGCGCATGCGCGGCCACGCACTGCGCACGGTGCGCGTTGCCAAGGCAGCGGGGAAGGCGTCACCCGGAAGAGCCGTCCTAAAGCCGTTGGCGCCGAGACTTTCCCGGTGAGCTCCGCGCTCACTAGGTTTTGAGATAATCTTGCCCACAGGAAAGCAGACAAGGAGTCGAGTGTGACACAAGATAGTGACCATCCGCCTAGAAGTCGGAAAATTGAAAAGGAGAGAGGAGAATCAACCTAAACCGGCATGAGGGCTATGGCACACGTTTCCTTCACTGATGAGGTACAAAATTCACTTAATTCCTCTGGAGGAAGGCAGTTTTCGTCCCATGCCTCCGAGAGTGAACTGAACACTGGATATCGGACTACAAGCTTGGAAGAACAAGAATCCGAGTTTTCAGACTCCAAAAATAATGAAATGAAGTTTAGTAGAAAATGGATCAAGTACCTCAAGGACAAAAAAACTAGCTCTGGACGATACCAACCAGACAATAAACTTCAAACAGAAATTACTCAAGTATCCAATGAAGAACTGCATGCCCAGCAGTCTTTTTGCACCATTAAGGTAAACTTGATCCACCACAGAGTGAACTCGAAAAGCAGCAGACATAAAAAACTGCGGCTTAGATTGGGTGCGGAGGCCTCTGAGATAGATGCTTTAAATTGTACTGTCCCTCGTGAGCTTTTGAGCAGACTCTACTTTGAAAACCTGAGGGCAACACTGAAACAAATGGAAACAGCTAAGCAACACATTTTATCTCAGTGCCCTAGCTGTAACACGAAAAGAGCAGAGCTGGCTCAATCTGCCTTCCTGAGACAAAAGAAGACTTTACTGGAGTCACTTCTTCTGGAAGAGAGAATTGATGAACGTCTTCATACCACAGATTTTCTCACCCATGTGAGAGAAGTACATCAGGGCCTTCCCAGGCTGTTGGATGATCCCAGAATGATCTGGAAAAGACTGACAAAGTTGAGATACAGTACTGGGGCGTTGAAAGATCAGATACCAAACAGAGGCTGTAACCAGTTACCTAAGCAAACAGGACATGGTGATTATTAAAGATAATCTGTAATGTGCGTAGATGTACCTGTTTTGTATGTGGATAATTACCATTTTTTTTTACAGGCATTTGTAAACTAATGTGAGACTTTATTATACTTCTTTCACAGATTTAAAGGCCAAGAACTTTCCATCCAATACGTCTTTTAGAGTATAGAAGGTAATGTTGTAGTTTGAATAATTACAAAGCTTTTACAGTGATCCAGGAGAGAGATATTGGTAGTTAAAACTAGGGTGTTGACAGTAAAAAGAGAAAGAAATGCAGTGATGTAAGAGATCCTTAGGAAGTGAAAATAGACTTTGTTGATGAAATGACTACAGGGATTTAATATAAGGAATATGTTAAAATGTTGCTAGAGTTCTCACTGGTGTACCTGGGTGAATGATAGTTTCATTAAGACAGGAACACTAGAAGAGGGACGTGTAATGGGAGTGATCAATAGTGTAATTATTTGTCATGAGTAGTTTAAGGTATATGTGAGACACACATTTAGAGTTTGAGGAAACATTAAGTTGTTTATACTTGCAGTCTAGAGTAAAGGTCTGTAGATTTTAAACAAAAGGGCAGGTGGGGAAAGTACTGACATACATGGAAATTGAAGCTGTAGATGTGATGTGCTCTGCTGAAGTTGAATAGAGTGAGCATACTGTCGGGGTTAGTACTAACTCTTGAGAAATGCCAACAGTTAATGGACAGGTAGCGAGAATAAAGTTGTAAAAAGAAGTTATTAGGTTGAAAGAAATTATCTCAGGAATAAAGGAAACAAAGGATGTGTTGTGGTACAGAAGTCAAGGAATGCTGATTATGGACTGAAACATTTACAAATTCTGAGCTAAATAAACGTTTCCCCTTTAACTTTGAATGTTGGGTATTTTGTCTCAGCACTGAAAAAGTAACTAAGACACAGAATTATTTGGAAATACTTTCTTTTATTCCATGAGTTGCTTTTCCAGTACTTTCTTGAGTCTTTTAATCCACAAAAATTTGAAATTCAGTGAAGTCCAATTTATCTCTTTTTTTTTTAACCTATGCTTTTGGTGTCATATTTAAGAAACATTGTCAAATCTAAAGTCATGTAGCATGGCCCTGCATTTTCCTCTAAGATTTTTATGGTTTTGTATCTTATGGTTAGGTCTATTATGGGTTGAATGTGTCCTTGAAAATAGAAAACCTCAAATTCATATTTTAATGGTATCTGGAAATGGGACATTTGGGAGTCAGTTAGAAATGGGTGAGGCCCAGAGGGTAGGGTACCCATGATGTCACTGGTAGCTTTGTAAACACTGCTAGAAAGTGTGCTGTGTCCACCATGTACTGCCATCCACCACATTATGATACAGCCAAAGCCCCTCTCCAGATGCTAATGAGACACCGGTGCCATGCTCTTGGATTACCAGCCTCGAGAAATGTAAGCCATGTAAGTTTCTGGTCTTTTTGTACTGAGTCTCAGATATTGCATTGCAGAACTAGAAAAGACTAAGGTATGTCTTTACCAAATTTTGAGTTAAATTTTTGTTGATGGTGAAAGGACGTAGTTCGAGACTTTGACATACGGTTATATAATCTTTTCAGTGTTAATTTGGGAGAGACTGTTCTTTCTGTATTGAATAGCCTTGGCATTTTTGATGAAAATCATTGATTACACAGGTGAGGATTTATGTATGAACTCTAAATTCCATTCACTGGTGTTTATAAATCTCCTTTTATCAGTACCCTATTGTTTTGATTACTGTGATTTGGGTTACTTTGAAAACAGGAAGTGTGAAATTTCCATTTTTGTTCTAGTGACAAAACTCCATTTTTGTTCTTTTTTTCAACATTGTTTTGGTTATTTGAGGTTCCTGGAGATTCCACATAAATTTCAGGTTGTACTTTTCTATTTTTGCAATGTATATGTATTGTACATTGACTAGAAGCTGTTGTCTATATATTATTTTGGGTACTATAGATATATTAATAGTATTAAGTTCTTCAGCTATGTAATGCATACATTTTATTTATCTGTGTCTTCTTTAATTCCGTTCCTCAGCTGTTTGTATTTTTCAGTGTTCAAGTGTAGCGCCAGTTTGGTGAAATTTACTCCTAAGTACTTGCTTCTCTTTTTTCAATTTTAATTGACAAAAAAATTCTTTTTTTGAGGGGGATATTGCTCATTTCTAACAGAAATGCAGTTACTTTTATGTCCAACAAGTTCGTTGAATTCTCTTTTTTTTTTTTTTTTTTTTTTTTTTTTTTTTTTTTTTTTT